TATTGCTTTCATTTTCAAAGTCGACACTTTTAATTCCTCCATTCATTGACAAAAGCACTTTGTGCTCTTTTTTTCACTGTTTGATTAATTTATATCTGTGGTCAGGGTACTCATTTGGAAGAAACTCACCAGAGTGAAACTGCTATTCCTGGCTTTTCAACAAAACAAAGACAACTTAGTTAATATATGGAGATCAAAACCTTCATGCTAAAGCAAGGGTCAGCAAACTACAGCCTGTGGGCCAAATTCTGCCCACAGGCTGCTTTTATAACTAAAGTTTTATTTGAAAGCAGCCACACCCATCATTTACATAATGTTTGCAGCAGAGTTGAGAGCTGAGTAGTTGTAACAGAAAGCATATGGCTCACAAAGTATAAAATCTGGCTCTTTACAGGAAAAGTTTGCAGACCCTTGCCCTAAAGCTTTTAGTCACTCTTTCTACTAAAAAGAAAATACACACAACAATTACACAAAAAATTCATTGACTTTTCTTTCTCCAATATTTATGTTGATAAATATAAAAACTTTTAACCACATTGGACTCTAAAATTTATTGACTCTTGTAGAAAACAGTTCATGTCCCATTGACCTCTTTATATTTTTCTTTATCTTAAATATTTTAGATTTTAAAAGGTAAACAGCAGTTTCCTTCATCTACAGCAATCAGTGTTTCCAATTTGTATATCCTGCAGACATAATACGTGTTTTTGAAAAGAAATGCTAGTTAGAATAAAAATAACAATTCAGAAACCCGGTTTGGTTCAGGAACAGACAAATTTCAGTCAAACTTAGATTTGGGGGAAAATTATGGCTGATAGTTAATTCAGTCACAATGACTTAATAACTAGAAAAAAAAACCAGTTAACATGGCTTTAAAAGCAGCGAAATTACAGGCCGGCCCCATGGCCTAGTGGTTAAGTTTGGCATGGTCCACTTGGGCAGCCCAGGTTCAGTTCCCAGGCATGGACCTACAGCACTCATTGGCAGCCATGCTGTGGTGGCAACCCACATACAAAATAGAGGAAGACTGGCACAGATGTTAGCTCAGGGGGAACTTCCTTGGCAAAAAAAATCAAAAATAAAAAAATTTAAAATAGGGAAAGTAGACACTGAACAGAAGATTGACCCAAAAAACCTGCATAGAGATTTCCATATAAAATCAACAGTTTTAAAAAATATATAAAAATACATTTGTATGGGGCTGGCCCCGTGGCCGAGTGGTTAAGTTCGCGCGCTCCGCTGCAGGCGGCCCAGTGTTTCGTTGGTTCGAATCCTGGGCGCGGACATGGCACTGCTCATCAAACCACGCTGAGGCAGCGTCCCACATGCCACAACTAGAAGGACCCACAACGAAGAATATACAACTATGTACTGGGGGGCTTTGGGGAGAAAAAGGAAAAAAATAAAATCTTTAAAAAAAAATTAAAATAAAATAAAATTAAAAAAATACATTTGTATGGTAGATAAGATTGGCAAGACATCATCTTCTCCAAGAAGCCTTCCTTAATTCTTCTGAGTTACATGTCCTCCTATGTGTTCCCATAGCACCCTTCATTTTCCTTAACCTAGCACCTACCATGCTATATCATAAATGCCTATTTACTTGTATGTATACAACCACTTTACATTTATAATCTTGACAAGAGCAGAAATCACATCTTTTCCTTATCACAGCATCCCTAATGTCTAATATAATGATAAGCACATAGTAGGCACTCAGTAAATATTTGTAAAATAAAAATGAAATCATATGGTACAAGTTCAAAACGACCTACACATTCAGTATTATTGCCTAAAATGTATAAAATAAAATCTATATATGTTTGACCATAACACTTTTATTTCACATTTTAATTACAGGTTAGTATTCTGGTTTATGAATTTCAGTTCAGAGGTGGTATATGTTAACTATATATGTGCATCTTCTCTGTTTGGTTTACTTAATGGTTCCTTACCAAAAAGAGTTTGAAAATCACTGATCTAGAAGATTAACACGATATGTAGCAATTAGGCTAGACAAACGAAGTAATTCTTTTGGCATATCAGCATCTCAATGATGTACTGTGTAAAAACTCAGAAACTACTAAACAACCCAATTACTTGTGAGTAAACTCATTTATCTGGTAATACATCCATTTCTGACAGCAGGTACCAAAGCTATCTTTCTTATGATGCCATTTGAAGTACTGGGAATGATTTTTAATTCAAAAGCTTTCCAAAAGACATGACATAAGGGAGGAACAAGTCATCCATATATCCTGAAATGATTAGGAAAAACACAGTCCAGTTCTCTAGTTCCTAATCCAGCTCCAGGGTTAGGTCAATAAGGAAACTGTTTAAGGAAGCTTCTCCTGATTATTAACCATGAAGCAGAGAGAAGGCATATATATAGTTGTAAGATGTAAGGTGTCTTTGAAAAAACAAGTTTCTGACAAGAAACTTGGGTTTCACTAAAAATGAAAATGAATCACCCCTGACAGTTAATATCTAGGGGTATCTATTTATGGCAGATTAGGACCACAGAAAGTTTTCTCCAAAGTAAGGGGTAGAAGAAAGATAAGTGATTGCCCTAAAGACTCCCAGTAAGAGATGATTAAGAAATTGATACCAGTATCATTCTGCTTTTGAGTATGTAACAGCTTCAAACAAGAACCCAGTTTCCTCATAACCCAATAAATCAAGTCAAAAGTAGCAGTTTCCCATCCAAATGGTGGCAGTGGTGATAACAAAATCACTGCCTTATAAATGCATAATAATTACATATATTGTATAATTTGAACAATAAATTAACGCTGGGTAACTATCAGGCCAGTATTTTAATCCTTATATTATAGATAATTCTCTGCATATGTGATAAAGAGAGACTTGTTCAACATCACACTGATAGGAAGCAGCACAAATGGAGTTAGAAACATCATGTTTTAACAATACAATGCTATCTGCAATTATGAAGGTATGAACTTCTAGATCTAGGGACACAAAATAAAAGCAAACCCCCTTCTAAACATGTTATATTACTACATCTGCTGATAGAGAAGTACATTAGAAACAGCAGGGACTTTGGAAGTAGATTTGTATTTGTATTTCAAATCTGCCACTGACTGTTTTATGACATTTGATATTCAGAATAAGGGGCAAAATATCAACTATACAGAGTTTAAAAAGTTAAAGGAGGAATATATGTAAAGTGCTCACATGAATTAATGTACAAAGGAGGTTCTAATCCTGGCCACTGTGAGATTATTTTCCCTTCCCTTCCAGCTAGCAAGAATTTAGGATCTTATTATCTAGCATGGCTCCATCAAAATGGTCTGTGGAGACGGAATGCTAAGGGTTCTTCCTCAGTAGAGATTAAGGATTCTAAGATAGGCCGATAAGTTACTTGCTCAAATTCTCTGTGAAATCATGAAAGACAAAAGGTTCAATTTCCTTTACTTATAGTAAAAGACACAGCTAAGGGAAAAAAATTGATGTTTAAAGGGATAATAAAGATAAGCAGATAAATAAGGAAGGGGGAGAGACAGAAGAATTATTTGGGAATAGGATCCAACTGACTAAGGAGGGTTCAATGAAGTAACATGAAAAGAGAGTCCAGAGGAAAGAAAAAAAAACCTAATTAACCTCTTGAATACTAGACAAAAGGCATCCAGAAAAGCAGAGACTAATCCCATGAAGTTAGAGGATTTTCCTAATAGCAGTTGACAACAGAATCCAGTTAACCCTAAAATGCTGCAAGAAAGTCTTGTTCTAGGAAAGGCAAACATACGAATGGTTTGTTTCCATAGGAAAGAAATGACTATCATTTCTTCAATTATAATGAGAAGAGACATGACTTGTTTTCTAGGAATGCTGCACATACTAAATACAAAAGAAAAAAGTAAGTTCAAGAAGTTAAATAGTTGAGAAAATAACCAGGAACTTCACTAAAAGAATAAAAAGGAAAAATAACTGGTCCACAAGGGTTCTTTCTTACAGAGAATAGGACTATCTCCTTCATCTCTTATCATTTACCTTAGTACTAGGCAAGAAGGGCCTGAAAATGTTAAAGAAGGTGATAAGGAGAGGAAACCAAAGATTAAAGGTTCACATGGGTTTTCCAGTCATTCTAGAGGCTAGAAACATATGCTTCTCCCTTAGGTCATGTCTCCCAAAATAGCATCTCAAGAATACCAAATGGCATAACAGAGATATACCTACCAGCTGTCAGGGATGTCTCAAATCCATCTTTAATGAAACAGATGACACTTTACTTCTTCATATAAGTTTGAACTGCTACAAGTGTAAAGGGTACTATTTCTTACACTGGGAAGAAGCGCAGGAAAGCACAATAAGCAAATTAATGAATTATATATGGTTCCAATTTCAAATTAGTCATTGTTTCAAATGAAACATTCTATTTTGACTGAAGCCAATAGCAAAAGAACAAGAGTTTAAACATTCATAATCACAACTAGGATAAAACCTCTTTCATATGATATGAACAACCTATACATAACGAAAAACATTTATTTTTTTTTCAGGTGTACATCCTATCTGAACTTCTGTATAGACTATATTGGGTTCACCACCAAAAGTCTAGTTGCCATCCATGACCATACAAACGTGTCCCCTTTTACCCTCCTCCCACCCCCCCCAACCCCCTTCCCCTCTGGTAATCACCAATCTGTTTTCTGTTTCTATGTGTTTGTTGTTAAAAACATATTATTTAAACAAATTATGCCCTTCACAAAAAATGTAAGGAGAATTCCAGTTCATTAGTATGCTATTGTTCTGCCCAACTACAGAAAAGTTACCCAGAAATGCCTAACAGTGAAATAAGACCAAAGCTCCAAAGTACAGACATATTTCTTTTAAAAGGAAATTTAAGTAACTCTTCCAAATTTCTAAATATCTATCTTTTATGCCAATCTAAATCTCTAATATATTAATGATAAAATAAACATCATTAATCTGTTAGTAGCAATGGGGAAAGAGAAAAATAAAGGAACTACTGGACATACCCTATGTAATATTTCTAAAACCTTTAATGCAGTATGAAGAAAACTGTTGAAAATTCTTCTTTCAGGAGAGGCAATGCTGCGCTTGTACTCTTTCAAAAGATGTACCACAACTTCCTTAAAAAGTTCTACAATCTTGAGGAATAGTGGAGGTTCAAGCACTGACCACCATTTTTCTGTTATTAAAGGGTGAACACACAAATAAAATGAATTTTAAAAGTTACAATTCTCAAAATCATACTGACTTTTCTTCTAAAGCAGTGGCTCTTAACCCTGTGAAAATTCCAGGAAGATACACAGAACACAATATTTTATGTAACATTTCTAGGCTTTACAGACACCACTCCACCCTCAAGTTAAAGAATACTGTTCTAAAAGCTCTCAAAAGCAAAAATAAAGTAAGAAAGGTCTATAGAATTTACATTCTGGTTTCCTAAATTATAGTGAAAATTCACCACTGTACCTAATATTAAAACAAGTTATAAAAAATGCTCTGGAAATTAGAATTTTAATTTTTAAACAAAACACTTTAAAATTGTATTACTCCAATATTTAAGGATCTTTCCAAGTTTTATCTTTCATCTTAATATAAAGTTGAAATGTTGTGAAGCACCACCTTTAAAATGCAAAGTACTCCTGAAAACCAAACACTGAAGCTGAACAATGTAAAGTATAACTTGCTTGTCCTTCCCCACATTCATTATTTGCAGTTGTTAACTACAGTACAAATACCGAAATCCTTGAAGGAAACAGAAAGAATACAAAAACTTCTGACAACACGGAAGCAATCCTCTTGTGAGTCCCTGCTTCACTCTTCTATTACTGGCCAATTGCCTCAGATTCTAGGATTCTAGCCCTTGTTTGCTGCTTCCTCTGCTCACCCTCAGTCTAAAACATCTTGTACTGATTTTATTACTTGTATATATTTTAGCTTCACATATTGACCAAATTCTGTTAGGAAGGAAAGCACTGTGTTAAATGCAGCAAGCAAACTATAACAGCCAGGAGATAGATACACAATTAGAAAAATTAAGGTAAGAAAACTTTAGGCCAAAAAACCAGAGCAGACAGACAGAACTGTAAGGTCAGATGAGCAGTAGAATCTCATCAATATGCAGAGAAATAAAACCAAACATCAGGAAACTGGCAACAAGGAAAAGTGTTAGAGTTCAAGGAGGATTTAATACCCATGTCTGTACAGTTTTAACTATTCCTCCTCCTTTACTTCTTTAATAATAACATCACTCTGGAGGGGCGGAGGGAGGGGAATAGGAAAAACAGTTTTTATCTTTCCTGATACTGTCTCTGCTATTGTGTTTGATTAAAATTTTAATATTTAACATGCTTCACCTCCAACAACTCCAACAACTAGCACCAGATGATTAGAAAAAAAGTAACAAAAGGAAAACAGGTTTATTTTTTTCCTAAAACAATGTTCAACAAGCAGGGTAGCAAAATTTCAAACAACAAAAAAGTAAGAACTTGTGAGCATTTCCATTTAAAGAGAAAAGGTTACAAAAGAAAAAAATATTAAATGTCTTACCAAGTACTTTCAGTGGTGCCTTTTCTAGGTTCACAAGAGCTCTACCAAAGGGAATTGCTATTGTTATGAAATTGTTGGGATCATTCATCAGGGGACATTCTGGTAGAGTAAGATAAAACCTCAATGCTTCAACGTCAGGTAAGGAGCCAGTCAGTTTAGGAATAAGATTCTTTTCCAAACTAGCTGCCACCTATAGTTTAACAAAAAGTAAAACCTACTTCATTTAAAATGAATGCAGTTTCCAAAAAAAAGAAAGAAAAAGAAAATCTTATAATACAGCAAACATGAAATGGTGAAGAAAAAGAAAATATCTTACAATCAATCAATGAATGTACTTTGGAGCACAAAGAAAATGAATGCCTAAGCATTGCTAAAAGAATTCAAAAAAATCTTGTAAGTCTCCATTTAAACCTTCTACTTCTATAGCCATATACTTAACCAACATGACCATGTTAAGTAATTAAGGGTCTGCTCGAAACATCTGGAAAGATTTAGATATTTGACAGCTAAATTACAAATTCTTTAAAATAAAACTTTATTTTAATTCTCATATTAGCATATTTAATAAAATCATACAAAGCACATCATAATAACTAGGCTATAAACATATAAAGGAACATGGAATAAAAACTCAATAGGCTACATAATACAAATATAAAACACTTTAAACACAAACCTGCTGAGATATCTGAGGATGATCAGGTTGTATAAGTTTGTGAAATAAAAGCCTAGCAGCATTCATGTCAACTCCTGAAAATTTGGCGCCTGTTTTATAGTGATCATCATTGCTATTTAAAAAAAGCGAGAGAAAATAATGAAACTTTAAAATTAATTCACTTATTTATTATACTATTAAATATAATAAATTTGAAAAATTCAGGATACCGAAGAATTGCCACTTACCTAACAGCTAAAAAACTTCCATTTAGACAACCAGAGGATGAAAATGTTCCATCTATTTCACTAAAAAGAAATATCACAAAATGAGAAATCTATTCACCTTTCATTTCATTTTTTAATGAAAATTAAAATCAGTATTTAATCTAATATTTACTGCTACAGAGCATTCCTCTAATGAACACTCAAATTAGAACAAATCAGAATTCTATAAATTACTAAATATTGATTAAATAATACTTGATAAAAGTATTACTGTTTACCCTAGACTTTCTCAAATATTACTTTAATGCTCTGATTTATCAAACAAATCTGATGCTCTTAAATACATTTTTTTTTACATAAACATGCACATTTAATTTTCTTTTCTTTTTTTTGTGTGAGGAAGATTCACCCTGAGCTAACATCTGTTGCCAACCCTCCTTTGTTTTTTTTGGCTTGAGTAAGATTAGCTCTGAGCTAACATCCATGCCAGTCTTCCTCCACTTTATGTGGGATGCCTCCACAGCAGAATGGCTGAGTGGAGCAAGTCTGCACTCAGGATCTGAACCACAAACTTTGGACGCCAAAGTGGAGTGCCATGGAACTTTACCCACTTGGCCACAGGCTAGTCCCTAACTTTCTTAATTCCACATGGCAGTAAATCTAATCTGGGATGTTATTTTTTTGAAGCCTACTTCTTGGACTTCTAAGAAAAATTTTAATTTGGGAAAACAATCTAGGGGAAAAAAAACAGTTTACCAGATATAGCCCTTCCATCCCAAAAACCAACACCTACTCCAAAAAAAAAAAACCCTAAATACTAAACAAGTTCATCTATAAGCAAAATATTCAAGAAAGAAGTAATACTCAAATCTTACAGGGAGTATAAAAGTTAAAAGACATTGAGCACTATGAAGCTAGATGGAACAATTTCAAACCCAATTCTAAAGTGGCTATATTTAATATTTTAAGTTATCACTTAATATATCATTATGTATCTGAAAGAATTGCAACTTATATAAATTTAAGTGAGATCTCTTAAAATATCCATTATAAAAATTCTAGACATTCAAACTTTTGTACATAAACCATTCAATGAATGATATTTAATGAAATGATTACTTAAATAAAAACACCTAAGTACAGGCTGCTCCCCCACAGAGTTGAGGGGTTTTGTTTGTGTGTGTTTGTATAGGTAAAATGTTTTTCTTACTTGGCTATCTCCACAGGAACCCTTCCAGAGGGGTAGCTCAACCATTTCTGAATTAGGGCTTCATTCACAGTCCAGATCTGCTTTGAAGGATCAGTACATCTAAAGTCATCTGGTGGTCTACAGTTCTAAATTTTAAAATAAGTACATCGGTCAGAGGGAAGAGACATTATATATAACTTAAACCAAGACATGCTTTCACTATATATTTGGTTTGTTTCTTTTTAAACCTAAGTAAATCACCTGAAACAAAAACTTATCAAATGGATCATAAAAATTTTGTAGACTTGAGGAAACAAAAATTTAACATAATTATTCTGTAATATATAAAGAACATTAATATGGGTTTAAAAAATTCTTCAAAATTATTTGAGCTTAGTAATTATTTATATGACTACTATTACCTGGGGATTAGAGTAATGTGCAAAGCTTTGATCTCCACCTGAGAAAATTCTTTTTACACAGAAATATTCTTCAGAATCTGTAATAAAAATAAACGTAAAAAAATTCAAGATTTATATGACATTTTTCAGAGCATCAGATATGCTACTGGATTTTCTCTTAGTCATCTAACTTAATTAGACCTCCCATTCATGGACTCAATGATATAAAATGACTTGAAATATTCTGATTGCTATGGAAACAAGACTGACCAAATGATTCCACAAGCATAGCAGCATTTGGTAAGCTTATAAGTCTTTCCTCTGGCCTGCACAAAAGAATGGCGTTTTCTAGTCCATATCTTTAATACCTCAATATATTTTAAACTGAAGATTATATAAAAATTGAATGAAAAGTATAAAAGAAATCTCAGAAGAAAATAAAAACTAAGAATATTCCTTTTTAAAAAGAATGACAACAAACAAGTAAATGTCAAAACTTTTTGAGTAAATACTCCATAATGCAGAATTATTTTCTCTTTCAAGATAGTTGTACAAAAGTAAGATGAGAGACACAGCTCTTTGTTGGCAACTATCTATCAATATAAACCAAATCAGTTCCAAAAATATAGAAGTTAATAAGAAAATTTAGTACAAGTAAAAAAGAGACAATAAAGCTCCTTTATAAAAAGATATTCAAAGCCTCTTCCTTTTTCTTCTCTTCTGCTCCTCAAAGTGGAAAGACTATCTATTATCAAAAATAATGCTGGGCTAGCATTTAGAGGTATCATATACCAAAACAGCAAAACTACACATTGTAACTTAAGGCTAGTTATTTCCAAATATAATCCATTTCTGTCATTCTACTACTGACCCCCACCATTTAGCTAATTCTTTACCTTGTATTATTTGTGACCATAGCTGCTACAGAATGATATATTCTTAAGAAAGAGACCACATCTTAATTTGCTTGATTATTCCCTATCAAGCAGAATGTTTTATTTGCAAAATAACTCAGTAAATATTTGTTAATATGAATACATAATATAAATTAATGTTCACATTCCTTAGAACATAATAGTAAGAGCTTCAGAGTTCAGAATATTAACATGACCGAATTTTCCACAAGAATGCTCTAAGGCCAAAAACAACTTTTAAGAACAGATTAAAAGGATAAATCTAAAATATTAAATAAACCAATCGTTCAACCTAAAATCCTTTTTCTACAATCTTTTCTCTACATCATTCTCACACGTCTACATGAAATCGTTCACTTCCTCAAAAGATTTAACAGGACGTTATTCATTTATTGCTAAAATGTGATTGTGCCCTTTATAAATAATTATGAAGAAGACCAATGACTAAGCTACAGTACATGAATGGGGCTGTGAGTCGGGCACCAAAAATTATTTTCCTTAATTTCTTTTTGATTACTACTCCAAAAAGTTTGTGAAACTTAGTCATTTGTCCTATACAGCTTCCTGAAGACTAGATTTTGCTGATTGTATCCCCGAGTTTTCTCCTAACATTTTTCTTGGTTTTGCATATTTCCTGTAAATTGGTAGTTGGATTTAGAAAGGCTTTAACTGGAGCTTAAATATTTCAAATTATTACATGGTGGGCGGGTTGTTCTTCCATCAGAAGCACACAATGTGTGGTTGGGTTCCTTTTTCGCAATGTTAGCAACCTCTGATGCTCAATGCTTAGGCCATTAAAACTTAAAGTAGGTTGAAAAATGATGATATGCTAACACTACTTCCTCATCTTGTAGCTGGACCGTTACCTTCCCCCATCTACTAAACAGTTTGTTAGCCTATAATAGGAAGGAAGGATTAATTAATGATCTTCTTCCACGTATTTACTATCCTCTTGCTTTTTGAATTTGAATTTCTTTGATACAAAGAGGGTAAAAGATTTTTCATGTTTTTTAGTAACATCAATTTCTTCTCTTGGAATTTCCATTATCTATTTGGTGTCTTATTGTTTTTGTCACTAACGTGTATGACCACTTTGGATAATCAGGCCATTAACTTTAGGCTGTATTTGCTACAAACATTTCTCCTAAATAATTATTTAATTTTTAACTCATAGAAGATCTCTTTTTCCGTTTAATCAAATGTATTTCTCTCTTTCTTTATGAAGACTTTCATGCTGAGAAAGGCTTTTCCCATGCTCAAATCATAGAATTATTTTCTTAAGAACTTTTTTACATTTAACTCTCTAATTCATCTACAATTTATTTTACTGTACACTGCTAGGTTGGGATCTAAACGGGACTCCCCTCCCCCCAATCTTCATGTGTTGAGTAATTCTTCTCCCTTCTCCACAGATTAGTGATGCCTTTCTTTAAAGTTATGAAAAGGCACTACTACTTCTACCTATAATACACAACTCTAAAAAATTTTGGTACTCTTCTCTATCCCAAAAGTGTTCTCAAAGTCCTTAACACACACACATCTCCAAGAGTCATTACCAATCAACTGAAGTTTGAACTTGAAACAAAACCTATATACAAATACCTACAGAGGAATTTTTTTTCCTGGACTTTCCATTAGTTATAATGATCTAAATGTCTATGCGTATACCAATATTCTGATTTGTTAAAGTTTTATAGTATATGTTGTCATATCTAAGGAGGGCTAGTTCACTTTCTCCTTACTCTTTACAAAATATATTGTCAGGAAAAATTGTAAAGACTTTGAAATAGGCTCCCTTGCCAAAAAGCAAATGATTAAGGTATTCTTCAGGAATATCTCCAACTGAAAGGTGTCTTTGAGCCATTTACAATTCTGCAAATTATACTTCTATTTAAGAGCAATAGTGACAGAGATACAATTATGTACGTGCTTTTGATTTACAAGGAAAAGGAGTAGTTTTTGATGGTCTCTAAACTCCTTTACACTCTTAGGACTTATTCAGGACCCCAAAGAGCTTCTGTTTATGTGGATTAAAAGCACTAACACTTATCATATTAGAATTTAAAATTAAGAAATTTGAAGATGAGCAATAACAAATGTACCACACATTAACATAGATAATATCTTAGTATTAATATGAAAATCATTTTGACCTCATGGACATTCTGAGACAATACTACTGTCCTCAAGCAAGAGTCAGTTTGTTCCAGAATACGAAAGAGTGTAATTGAAGATACAATGTGGTAAGTGAATTTCATTTGCCCAGATTTATACCTGACTCTGAAAGAAGTCATAAAACGCGTTAAAATCGTAGCAAAGTTCACTCAGTTTTGAAAGGTGTGCTCCCACAGTTTACTGGTTAATGCCTTCACCTACAATATAAAAAGTTTTTCTTTGCTTTTTGTGTAATTTGCTAAATAGCAAAAGTCCTGTGTCTTGCTAGAATAATTTTCTATGCCTTATGTTGACTTTACTGTCTTTCATTATTTAAGGAGAAAAACAAAAAGGCTCCTCACTTATGAAAGAGCTAAAGTTCCTTTCAATCAGATTACTACTTATATTTATTTTGAAATGTTTTATTGTCACTTTGATAAAATAGGTAACCAAGTATTGTTTCTCAAGCATCAATGATAATATCCACTCTCCTCCAACAAATTCCTATGCTGAAGCTCTAACCTCACAGTGCCTTAGAATATGACTGTATTTGGTGATAGGGCCTTTAAAGAGATAATTAAGGTAAAATGAGGCTGTTAGGGTGGGGCCCTAATCCAACGGTGGGGCCCTAATCCAATAATGCCTGGTGTCCTTATCAGAGGAGGAAGAGACATCAGAAATGCACACACACAGAGGAAAGGCCATGTGAGGACACAGTAAGAAGGCAGCCATCTGCAAGCCAAGGAGAGAGGCTTCAGAAGAAAGCAAACCTACAGACACCTTGATCTTGGACTTATATCTTCCAGAACTGTGAGAAAATACACTTCTGTTGTTTAAGCCACCAAGTCTAAGGTATTTTGTTATGGCAGCCCAGCAAACTAACACATTTCCCAAACTCAGATCCTAAATATAGAAAGATAAAACTTCCAAGATACCTTTTACGTATTAGTGAAAATATCTTTGAGATTTCCCAGAGAGGCCCTGAAGAATCACAAAGATTTGCTCTTTCAACTTATAAGAAGAGATGCTAGAAAGAATTAGGTTTGTATGATGTCTTACTATTATAAGTTCCATGGGAAGAGCTGCCCAATCAGAAAAGGTACTCGACCTTCCCTAGGTTAAATTTATATGGTAAAATGTAATTAATATAAATATTCCAAAAATTGTTTGTTTTATGAGAAGTCCCTAGAGATTAGTCAATGTCCTTGCTTTCCATATGTTTAAAAATGAAGGGAAATACTATTCAACACTCTGAAATGGTTCTGGTGAATTTTCCTATATTTATCAAAGTTCTGGTGGTACAGTGCTGGCAGTCTTAATTTCAGTTATTATTTAACTGTTATTTTAAATGTTTTCTGACAAAATCTTACTGCTTTAATTCACATCTAGCATCTTCAAGGCCAATGGTTTTCAAATGGGGATGTATTTCAGACTTATTCATGAAGTTTTATAAAAATACAGATGTCTAAGCTAGATCACCTGACTTAGTGAATCTCTTTACTTGATATTCTTGGTGTCATTCCTGGTACATTAGGTCTCAGGATTATCATGTTACATCTCAAGATTTTTTCATCTATAAAAAGTTATACTGATCCATATTTATAAATTAGATGTAAGACTCACTTACTTCCTTGAGAACAAGCTTAATCATCATCTTTAGAAACATTCTGTTTAAACAGCTTTTTGGAATAACGTGTTTTGCATGCCACAGAAACAACCGAATTTCCCTGTCAGCCATATTATTTTTATTATGAACCCTCATCAGATCTTTCCGCTTGACAATTATCAGTAATAAATTAGCCACGGTCATTTTAAACCTCTGTCATCTGTTGATAGTTTTTGTTTTACTCTGATGCTTGCCTGAAGATTCTCCTATAAGCTACAGGCCAGAGTTTGTGTTTTCAACTAAGAAGGACAGTCTCAGAGCTCTGTGAACATGACTGTACCAGGTATTAGAAACTACTTATACATCAAAGAATAGACACTTGGGAACAGGCTTCTGAGGAGACATGGCTTAGATAACTTTCAGA